AGTGGCGTATTATATCAAAAGAGCGGACCCCGCCATAGAGCGGGACAAACGCTGAAGAAGAAAAAGAAGAAGAATAGTAGGCCTCCTCAAGCTTATCACGAATGTCATGGTGTTCTCACGACGGCGGAGACAGCCAGAGACTGTTCTCCCTTCATACCTTGCATGCATTCCAACACTCCGTGCAACGTATACCTTGCCCACACACGCCATAAACAAAGCGTCTCCTTTTGCTCTTCTCCTCTCCACCTGTATGACACTGAAGACAAACTTTACACCCGCCTCCGTGGATTCTGATCCTTCCGAGTATAGGGGCAATTTGTCCGCAGCTTCAGTAGCGTGCCATATCAAAGGGGCACGGGAACGGGGGTGGTATGCAGTGATAGCAGGGTACATCCCCATACTCCGTCCGCGATGCCACAGGCCAGCCACACGTTTAACCACAGCCGAATCGAACTATTGCTTGTGGCGCGTGCCTCGTCACCAACTGATTATTTTCTATCGCTTAGTGCGTTTTTTTGTTGCGGAGACCGCGGTTTTGGTGCCAGCACTGCAGAGGGTAAGACGGGTAGAGTAGGAGTACTCAGCTACCTACACCCCTTGCTCCGTTCCAGTGCACTTTTGAGCCGAGAAAGTGGTCCGAAGCCGCGTGTTCGCACCCACTTGCCTTGCACTTGCAAGGACTGGCCTCAGAGCTGAGTTTGCAGTGTGTCTTTGAGCACCTCAGCTCAGTCACAGGAAGGGAAGATAACTTTTTGGAATAGCTTCTACTCGTGAGAGATTTGACAACATACCTTGTCGCTGATTTGGCGATCACGATTTCGTCGAATTGAAACCTTCAAACGTTCCGCCGATGGGAGATTTGACTCATCATTATTTGATGTGGAAGGCCCAGATGTTGATGGAAATATTCGTCGACCGATAGCTTCATTACGGCGTTCCTGTTGTTCGTCAGTAGCTGAACACGTTCGAAGTTAGGGCTATTCACGTAAATGAAAGTAGCAAAGAACAAAAAAAAACACTTTCAGAAGTTCGCTTGAACTTACCATTGACGCCCCGATATCGCAACAACATCTCTGCCACTCTCTTGTCATTGGGATCCTCCGGTACTAGCGGTATACTGAGTGAACAACGTGCTTTCAGATCCGCGTCCCTAGCTCTCTTCTCATTCAGTTCTCGCTTTTCTCTCTTAAAATATTATTTTATGCTAGATATTAGATTAGCCGAAATGTTGTTGAATACTTTGACGAATAGTTTTTTTATTGCTAACCGTAAGATTTGAGATCAATGACATGAACAACCCTCCGCAAAATGCGTTCCTGCTCGAGACTAAATAGGACTTCAGCGCGACTGGCGGGTCTTGAAACTTTTCCCAGGGGGCCACAGGGTGCTGGGAATGAAGGAAAACTGTTTAGCTGTCTGGTTTCTTTGAGCAAAGCAGGCGTCCGGACGATACACTGTTTCACCTCTGCGGATTCCTTCAAACTGGCTGTTCTCTACCCCTGCGTGTACGCTACAGGACTTTGGGATCGACGCAAAAGCTTGACCTTGAGTATAGCGTGAGTCTAAAACGGCACCCGGTACAACTACCCTTCAGCCTCATTTCTTCGCCCTCTCAAAAGACGAAAGTGCACCACTTGCCAACATGTTTTCTTCTTCTCGCTTCCTTTCTCGCATATTGGGCAGAAACTAGTCAAACTACTAGTCACAGGCTTGCAGGCACAAGTTGGTGCCTTCAGACTAACTCTTGGTAGACCTCCAGATCTAATCTCGTCTCCGAAACAGAAATCCTAACGATAAGAGTTCTTCTTTTACACTCCGAGGCTGTGAGGTGGAACTATTCATACAGACCTAACGGTCGATCAGATTGTTGTCCTGCTGTATGCGGTGGTGGACTGGGCCTCTAGGTGAGAAGATTTGGAGGAAAGGGTATGCGTCGAATAAATAGTTCCACCAAATGACTGCGTCTCCACAAGAGAAAAAAAACATAATGATGATTTTTGTTCTGAGACGTAGTCATTCGCTGAAACTATTCATTCAACGCCTACCCTTTCCTCCATAGCAGTTCCGAGGCTCTATGAGGGACAAAGTTGGAGACTATGATGGGTTCTAAGCTTTAAAACGTTACTAACAGGCGTTGTCTACCGGAATAAGCCTAAAGACAGCTCCCGCGATAAAAGTGTCATGGATAGTTGCTGTTCAATTATGAAACAGTAGCTGATAAGTAATTCCCAAAGAGAAAAACTCAAGAACACCATAAACAAAATC